AATACAAATGGCTATAGTCAGAAGAAGTACAAATGTCTAACATGTACATGAAAAAATATTAGCTATCTTTGGCCATTAAAGAAATGCAAATCAAAACAACACTGGAATTTCATCCTTAAAAAAAGCAATTCTGGGCCAGCCAGAGAGCTCAGCGGATCAAAGCATGTGCTTAGGCAGATGCAGAGTCCGGGGTACAATCCCCGACATGATGTGCTGCTCCCGACCCTGGGCATGCTGAGACAACAAATGAGACTGGGCATGGTGGCATGCACCTGTAATCCTCGTGCTTGGGAGGCTGAAAAACAGGAAGGATCACTACAAGTCCAGTCTGTACTAAATACATTAAAAAATAAAGAAATTCTATCCTGCTATCCTACTCAAAAAGAAAAGCTGACAGGCATGGTGGCACATACCTACATCCCAGTTCTCAGCAGGCCAAGGCAGAAAGGTCACTGTGAGTTCCAGGCCAGCCTCAGCTACATAAGCGAGTTCAAGGCCAGCATGCACTACACAGCAAAATCCTGTTTCCAAAAGAAAGAAGGTGTGGGAAGCCATCTTCAAGGCCTAAAATTCTTTATTATTCTGGGAGACAGTATCCCACTATGTAGTCCCAGCTGGTCTTGAACTTGAGACCCACCAGCCTCAGCTTCCCAAGTGCTCTGACACCCAGCATACACCAAGACCACAATGACAAGCAAAATACATCAAACACACAAGCTTAACTACCACACAATTTCTCCTATAGGAAAAACCCATGGCCCGGGGCATGGCTCAGGGCACAGGGCCTGCCGGCAAGCAAAAGGTCATGAGTTTGATTCCCAATACCAGAGAGAAAGAGAGAGAGAGAGAGAGAGAGAGAGAGAGAGAGAGAGAGAGAGAGAGAAGTATAAATATTTTAAAAAGCAAAAGAAGAGACAAGATGACAGGCAACAGGGAGCTCGTCTGTAAATGGAAGGGGTGGACGCTAAAAAGAATTAAGATGTGGTATGTACACATATCTGCTCCCCACGATACATGCAAGCATTACATGCTACAAATGTACTTTTAAAAAAACTCAAACAACACATACTGGCAAGGCTGGGAGACAAATGAAAGCCTTCTACACTGGAGGCACAAATGTAAACTAATGCAAACACTACATACATCGGTACGAAGATTCCTCAAAAACCTAAAAGTAGAAATTGCATTTGACCAAGTAACACTTCCTAGAAGTGCCTCACATACTGGCCACCAACAGGCAGTGCATAAGGAATGCGCGCCCCACAGCTATATGGACTGGCACTACCCCCCACAAAGGGCAACTCCGCGTGGGTCGTCGGAGGGTCGGTGGGGCCTGAGTGCTGGAGCACTGAGTGGGACAAACCAGACACGCAAGGTCGGCGGCTGCCGCCTGTCTTAAGGATGTGCAAGGTCGGCCACTGCGGCCTGTCTATGCAAGAAACCCAAAGCATACGAAACTTCAAGCACAGAAAAAAAAGGCGTCATAATAACAGACATTAGGAAACGGGGAAGAACAAGGGAGGGGGCAATGAAAGAGACAGGGGAAAAAACAACAGAAGACAAGGAGTTTGAATGCTGGAAGGGGAACGGGAAAAGAGAAGCAAAGTGTATCGGGTACAGGTGCAAACCCGCTAGGCACACAAGGATGGGGCCCACACCGCACCACATGTCGCACTGGCCCCAGCTCCAGGAGCCACAGAGACTGAGAGTGGTGGTGCACGCCTGTAATCCCAGAACTGGGGAGGCTGAAAAGAGGAGGATCACTATGAGTCCGAGCTGCGCAGTGAGATCCTGTACCAAACACATTAATAAATAAATAAATAAATAAATAAATAAATAAATGAATGGGTTATAATGGCAATTACCTCCTTCAGAATCCTTTCATTAAAAAACTGTTGGAGTTTTTCATTGCAGTAGTTGATACAGAATTGTTCAAAGCTGTTATGTTCAAAGTATTCTGAAAAGAAAACCAGACTCGAGTCACCATCATCAGAGAAAACTGACACAGTTTATCTCACAATAAAATGTGACATGGGACCAGTGAGTAGCTCAGTGGTCTGAAGCACCTGTTAGGCAACCTCAGGCAGGTGCAGGGGACCACGGTTCCATCCACAGCACCACATGCCACAACAGCCCTGCCCTCAGGGCGTGCTGAGCTGGCCCAAAAATAAAATGCGACAATGACAATTTAAGATTAGGCTAAAAATGCATATAACTGTTGTATACTCCCCAAATCCAAATGTTTTTACTTCAAGACAAATGTTGTTAATCATTAGAATTATTAAAAACACCTGGCTCCAGTTGATAAAAAGGCACTGGTCAGGAGAGATGTTCCAAAGTGACAAAATAGCGCCACCACTCATAGCTTTTAAACATAGGCATAAAGCAACTGAAAGCACAAACGACTCAAAATGCAATTCTGCTAGAGATGTTTTGATGCTTCATCTGTAAAACCATGGCCATCAGGAATGTTACGGACACTGATTCCTTCCTGAAGTTAAGAGACTCTCCTCCATAATGCTTCAAGATTCACAAAGTTGCGGAATTTTCTGATGCTGTATATGTGTGCTGTATGCAAAGCTGTTATAGGTCAAGAAAAACAGAACTAAAGGCAGCAAGATACTAAGTCAGTAGGGGGCTTTATGTGCCTTTAGGTAACAATTTAGCGGAAATTTTAGGTACAAACCCACCAAAAGCAACACTCTGGCCCCTCCAGAGCACCTTCCCTTGACAAGGGCAGACACCCCAGGCGGGAAGCTGACCAGCTCTCTAGGCCAGGAGAAACACTGAGCGAGCGAAGAGCCCAGGGCAAGAGCCACCAGACTCACTTCAAGTCCTGGCAACAGTCATCCAGAGCACAGTGGAGCTCAGACTGTACCTGGGGTCCACTTAATGCCCATATAAACACCCAAGCCAGTGCCAGGGACTTATCTTGGTGTCACCCTCACTTGACGGAAAATGAACTGGAAACAGCTACTTGTTGTCAACTCCAGCAGTGAAAGTTACAGACAGACGCGAGGACGGCCTGCAGCACGGCGGTGAACCCACCACTCGTGAGCCTCAGTCAGATGGCGGTCACCAAGCAGAGCCCCAAGTTCTGCCGTCACTGGCCTACAGGTTATGTTAACCTGTACTCAGCACTACATGGGAACCAGTGGTTCTAATAGCTTTCTTATCTTAGTAAGAGTCAAGAGTTTATTTCAGTTATATTCATTTAAGAGCATACTTCTCGAGGAGTCTGGGTTTTTTTTGAACATCAGCTTCCTAGGCCTATGTAACTGGCAATGACAATTTCTTCCAAAAAGAAGAAAGGGGGGGAGAGCGAGAGGAAGACGGAAGAGGGGGAGG